AGCTAGATAGATTGGCCCATATTTGTACAGGTCTTATGCTCAAATATCTATTAATACGTATCGGACTGGGTATTGCGGATTCTTTTTTTCTTACAAAAAGAAAACCCTAATTGTCTAGACGAGCTCACGTCGTCGACCTTGTTTCACACCCTACAACCAAAATTGATCGAACCACTCTAATCGACAACTCGTTCGATCATCAATCATGACGTCGAAGGGTGCCAACAAACTCGAGTTTGCTTGAAAAAAACATCCATGAGGTAAGAGTCTACAATAGGTGAATGTATTCTAATTAAAGCGCCTATGATGGAACAGATGTTTCCCCTAGGGTTTGTTCGGTATGGTATACCGAAATTTCAACGTCATACCGCATACCGTACCGAAAATCCGGTATTGGTAAATGTCATTCCGTTACCATACCGTTTTATACCGAAAATTCAAAAAAATAAACGTCTTGGCAATTCCGTATAAAGTATTAGCTTAAGGGGCCTACCGAACATCCAAAAAACTGATTTTAACAAGTCAAAACTAGCATATGACATCAATACATAAACCGGTATCAAAACTAAAACACAATATTTAATCCAAAGTAGAAAATATTAAAATTATGTGCTAATATCTCAAGTCTCAACACAATTCATAATGACAATTAGAATATTTATCCAACATAAATCAATGATAACTAATGTTTGTAATAACAAATCATTGAACCATTGTTGCAGCTCCAAAAGATAAGTAGTCTAACACTTCACTGCTACAATCCTGCAAATGAAAATAAACCAGTTTTGTTGTATTTACATCCTCCCAATTTACATATTTAAACAGACAAGTGGAACTAGTACATAACAAGAATTGTTGTGAAACACCTCGTGCTTTCAGCGCTCTGCAATAATATAGTTCATCTTGCTGTGATTCAAACAATCATTCAACTTGTGTTACACATAATCAGAGGATTGTTCTCAAATATCATTAAGAAATGTATAGTGTCTAAATGGGGAAGTTTGCATTATGTTTGGAAACCCCACTACGAAACTACGAGAGGGAAAATGGGGAAGAATTAATACAATTAATCATCACAAATCCCTTTAATACATCTTTAGAACATTTGTGCTGATGCAAAAATATTCCTTCACGGTTCACAACCACAATTTTTTAAGTACTCCGTCACTCGGCCGCATCTCCATCGTCAATGCTCAATAGTCCACAGCTCTGTCACTCATTGAAGAGAAGAGAAGCTGCTTGACTCTACGTTGATTTATTTGATTAGGGATTTAGGTCTCTACTTGGGAGAACTGGAGAAAGGTTGTAGTATTATAAGATGAGTTATTTTAATTTTGGGCCTTGGTGTTTTAATAATTTCATTTAATGGGTTTGGCCTTAAAAATTTACAAATTCTATTTTGGTATTTCGGTATTTCGGTATATACCGTACCATACCGAAATTAACGGTATTTCGGTATATACCGAAATACCGAAAATTTTAAAAAGTCCATACCTTTACCGTACCGAAGTGACCCGGTATGGTATCATACCGTACCGAACTTTTCGGTATACCGAAAATTTCGGTAAATTCGGTATTTTTCGGTATGGTATGGCCGGTATACCGAAATTTCGGTATATTTTTCCACCCCTAGTTTCCCCCTCTAAATTGTTTGATTTAAATATCTATGTCATTTGATTTGGTGATTTGTGGAATAGCTTATTTGATTATATATCTTATTGATGTCTGTTGAGGTTAAGTCCCGCAGATCCGAAAGCCCAACACACGCTTTGGATATTAAGGATATGGAAAATAAGTCAAGGGTCTAAGAAAATATAAAAGCTGAGTAATAATATACTCAAAAGCCCACTTGTATTAAGCAATTCACTGATTACACAGAAAACTTCTCGAACGGTACGTCGGATTAGTGATAATACAATAACAGGAATGATAAAGCTATTCTAGGCTTTGAGTCTCAAAATGCTAACCTTTTACAATGAGATTAGAGCCCCTGTGTATACTATTAAAAGGGGATGGGGGTGATGATGTGGCTGAATCTGACTTGCTGCCGTTCTCGAGCCACTTGGATGCTCATACTCCCACTTGTTGACGCTATACCCTAGCATTAAATGCCCCTTGCCACTTGCAGGCTACCCGTTCGGGCTTCAGAACGATGCCCATGCTGATATCATTATTAATCTGGCCCAAGTTACCTGCATGACCCGATCCCCGTTCGGGGTATAATCAATCCCTCATGGTTCCCTGGATCTCGTTCGGTATAAGTAGTGAATGGGCCTATTCTTCTTTGGATCCCTGCTGATTAATGGGCCTGGTATATTGGGCTTTCGGCCCAATATCCCAACACGAGTCCCCCACTTCTGATGTCATGAACGATAGTGAGGGCAAAAGGAAGTAGAATAATTTGAATCATAATGATTTGCACGATTGCCGTTCGGCAATCGTGTATGGGATCTTGCCGGTTCCCGATGTCCTGTTTTTACGGCCCACTAGCGGCTGTCGTTTAATTTTCCCCATAATCGTTATGATTATTGGGCTTTGTTTCTCCGCGTGACACATGTTTTCTCAAACGCTCCTGGAGACGTGTCTTACTTTGATTGGTTTGTGAATTGGCGCCTGTCAGACTATAAATAGGCCTTGAGTTCCTTGGTTATGGGTTTCGAATTCTCATTTCCTTTGTGCTTTAGCTCTGCCTTCTCTCTAGGACTCCCAAGCTTTTTGTGTGTTCAAGTACTTTCCGCCCCTTCCTCGTTCTTCCTACTCTCAGTTTTGGTCATTATGTCTTCTCAACCGCGCTCCCCTGTTTCGGAATTGGCCTCCCAAGGGGACGTTCATGATGATGCCGGTGTGAATGCCATAGTCGTTCCTTTTGCTGACGTAGCCAGAGAAACGACGACGAGTGCTAGTGTGGCGGCGGAGGATTCTTCCGAAGGCTCCTCTTCTTCCGACAATGAATTGTAGATCCGTTTCATCTCTATTCTGTTTGTATTTCAGTTTGATTGCTGGGAATTGGTTTTCACATACATGACCCTGCTTCAAACTGAAATACAAACAGAATAGAGATGAAATGGATCTACAATTCAATGCCACAATGATGTAGAAATTTCGTACATGATATGAACACAATTGTTATTCTCTCAACTCTCCAGATGTGCGTTAAAGCCTAACCTCTATTCTTCCTATTCTCTTAGAGTTTAAGTATGTTAGCCTTCCTTATATAGGTAAGGGTGCCAACTTATGTATTACATAATAGTAAATGGGTCTAAATACAAGAGCAACCCATATGAAGTAACCAATGTAATAACAACACAAATACAAAGAAATAACATGATTGGACATCACAAAAATATTCTAACAATCTCCCCTTGGTGTTCAATCGTGTTCAATCAACATTGAAGTGCGAGTATCTTTGTCTTTGTGTTGAATCAGACAATGTAAAGGCTTTGGAGTAAAAACATTACACCTTCCCCTTTGATGTATTCTGAAAATATGTTCTTTGATGTCCAAGTTAAGGGATCTTCAAGATATTGCATGTAATCATTTCCTTTCAAATGTTACTCTTGATCACCTTGAATGAGCCTCTAGTTTTGATGTTCTGAAGAGTTCTAAACGCACACGGGATTCATCTTCAGTATTTGATTATCTAACTTATGTCTCCTCCAGAATGTATCCTTTTGACTATTTGATGTGAAAGATCTTGAGCGACAGTTGTCGTTAGGGGTGGACCGAACCGGGCCAAACCGGCCCGTGAACCGGACTGGCCCGCTACTGTGCGGGCCCGGACCGGAACGTGACCGGATGGCCGGTTCCAGGCTTTTAGCCCATGTTGAAGGGCCTGGCGGGCCGGGCTCGAGCCCCATTTTTGTTGAACCGGATCATTTTTTTTCATTTTTTTTTCTTTTCCTTGGGTAGGGCTGGGTGTTTTGGGGAGGTTTGAGGGGTGGGGGTGAGGGGGGGTCGGGGATTAATTAGAAAGCAAAAAAAAAAATTAAATAGACCAAGGCCCGGCCCAGTTTGGCCCGAACCCGGTATTAACCCGGGCCGGTTCCAGGCCCAACAATCTGCAAAAAAGTCCATCCGGGCCCGGCCTAGAACCGGAACCGGACCGGCCCAGGTCCATCCCTAGTTGTCGTTGGCACGGCGGAAAATAATGGTTGGTTTGTAAGTGTAGCTGATGATTTGATTTGAAGTTGACTTGGTAGTTTTGATGAATTGGAGAGTAGAGAGCCGTCAGTTTTTGTGTATCGGTTGTGCGAGGGTTCCAGAAGCAACTCTGCTTGGGCTACAGCTCCTAGGAGCCTTGAGCCCCCAACAGTCCCTGCCTTGGAGCCTTGAGTTGGTCTGGGCAGCAACACATGGGCAGCTACTTAGCTTGGCTAGCACTCCTCTGGACTTGCCCACAGTTTTTAGGTCATGGACAGCGAGGGGTAAAGTACATGTGAGGTCTTGTACTCCTGGTAGTGGCCATGGGCAGGACATTAGTTTCCTGGCAGCAGTCCCTAGTCATGACGCAGGTCACAGGCAGCACGCCCTGGGTTTGGTTAGGGCAAGAACCCAGACAGCAGGGGCTCAACTGAGCAAGGTGTTCGAATCCAGCATTCCAGCCAGCCTCCTAGTTTGGTCCGCAAAGTCAGCAAATATGGGCAACAGCCCCTTGGCACCCTGTAGAATGTAGATCCTGGATACTGGATAGTGGGCACTGAGATTGTACGGAGTATCAGGCAGCAGCCCCTAGGCAAGGCAGACTGTGTCCAGCCAAAGCCTAGTCCAAACTCCAAATCCAATCAAAAGTTTGGACTGTAAGGCGGGAGCTTCTAAGCAACAGCAAATGGGGTGACCGAGCCTTGATCAGACCAGGGCCTATCTAGGACCCAGCATCGAATAGCCTGTGCTCCAGCAATATCGTAAGAGGCCGACATGGCAAGCAACCCGGAAATCCAAAGCAGGGAGGCCGGAGGGGCAGTCCCATGCTTTAAATTAATTAGTTAATGGTAAACCTTTTATGGCATTGAAGATGAATTAATTAATTGGCGATAATAACAATTACTTGAAATATTGAAATGAGGTGGTGACTGTACAGTTCCAAAAAAACAACAAAACCTTAATCTACAACCTATTATCATGCGCCTGTATCACTCTCTCCCCATTTCCTGAAGTTTCATCATCATCATCATCTGTCATCTGCCCAAACACAAACTTCCCGCCACCAATCTCTCTCATACCTATGTCTACGGTTCCACTATACAAACCCCTACTCCCGCCAGTAAGCGTGTTTAGCTCCTTGTCTTCCTTAACAGGCAGAAAAGAAGGCAGAACATTCATCAACGAAGATGAATTCGATTGATTGGAGCTATTGATGAGCATACGGAGCGTTTCTCTTGCACTCTTCTCCGCCATGGACTCTGCCTCAGGAATCAACGGTGGGAGGGCAGTCGACATACCTGGGCCTGCACTCACCAAATATCCCTGCCCCCCTGAGGAGCATACATCAATGAATGGGATGTGGACTATAGGGTCACACATTAAGGGAGTAAAGGTCGGGATCTGCTGCGAAGTTGGCAAACTCAATGGCAATCTGAGTAAAGGGTCGGGCAGAAGCGGAGGAAACTCTTCTAGGGAAGACGCTATGGAAAAATTCAACGGGGCAGGTGATAGTGAGGAAATCACAGGAAGGGAGAGAGCTTCACTGGATAAAATTGGGAGTTGTGGAGTTCCTAGTGAATATTGCAAGGCTGATGCGGGAGGGCACCAACAATAATAAGGAGAACCCAAAGAAGGAATTGTGAGTCCTGAGGTAATAAATGGCGGGTCCAGGTGTAACAACTGAAATGTAGCATGTTCTGAAGATGGCTTCTCCTCCTCCTTAGGAGGCTGGACAATACTATCTCCACGCCTCCTGAGCTTCTCCCTTGCACCACTCCTCAATGAGTTCCTGAGTAAGCTCTCCTTGAAGGAACCTGACCTGGCACTCAGACCTCCATGACGGGCCCGGATAGGCTTCTGGTCAGGCACAGAAGAATCATCAACTGCGGAATCAAATGTGAGAGTCGTTGACCCAACGAGGTGGGCTCGGAGATGAAATGCAAAGCACTTGAGCCGTGACTCGCATACTCCTGTAAGCTCGGCAAGAGATGGTTTTGTTTCTAGTAAATCCTTCATCTACATCAAGTGAAAAATAGAATGAATTAACAATAATCTTATCTATTACTCCCTGCGTCCCTGAAAAAATTTCCAACTTTCCTTTTTTGTCCGTCCCAAATAAAATTCCACTTTCCCTTTTCGGTAAAGAATTTGTAGTTCATAGCATTTCTTACACATTTCTCTCTCATCTACACAACTCTCCACCACACAATACCCACTATCTTAATCCCCATTCCATTTGTACTATGGAAGTTTTATTAGGGACGTAGGGAGTAGAATTGTTGGGGTTTTACGTAAAAGAATGTATAAATCCACCTTTCTTAGCATTTCATCCCCAAGAAGCTTAGACTTCTCTGAGCACCAGAAATACATATTCAAACCACCTGCGATTGTGAGCTTAAAAGAACGTCCAGTCTGGTCTGCAGGGATTCCCTCAATCTCAACAGTGGAGCAATCCAATGTGCTGCAAAGTGTTGCCAGTGTATCTGTGCTACCATCGTCCCCGATGAATGAGATCCGCATGTCGGAAGTTGGTAAAAGAGAGAGAGTTAAGTTTCCCCTAAGGCAGAAGAAACAATAAATTAGCAGCACCCAAAACATGAATAGAAGCTCAATAGAAAGACGAACATGAAGAATTAGATTATCTATTGCCTTGGTATCACAGGTTGGAACCCAGAAAAATCCAGGGAAAGAAAATATGCAAAGAAAATAGAGACGGAATTGGAAGGAGATATAAATGTAGAAAAATTATTAGTTCAAACTCAATATAAATTGTAGCTATTTGTCCGAACTTGATATGTTTATTTTTATTATCTAAGTAGTTAATTGTACTTGGTGGCAACTCGATCAAAGGCCGAGTAGCTAGAAGGACTAATTATCCTAATACTACCTCCGTCTCTTAGTACTTTATCATCTTTGACTTTTTAAGTCAATGGTCGTAAACTTCATACAATGATTTTGATTAGTATAATTTTATGAGTTATTAATTGAACTTTTATGAAAATATTTTTAATAAAGAACATTTCCATATCATTTTTTATTATAAATAATTTCCAATAAAAATATATCATTGGTAGAAGTTTAACTTGATTGACCAAAAAAATCAAAGATGGAAAAGTTTTAATGGACGGAGGGCATATACACAACATCCAAGCCTTATTTCATAAAGAGGACGGAAGGAGTATAAGTATATAAAATAATAATCTTAATAATTAAGTAACATAAATCATAAACAGTTTAACTTTCCAAGAAAATAAATCATCTAATAATTTTTAAGTCCCAAGTTTTATCCTAAACTAATTCCCAAAACACGATTTTCCCCAAACAGATGTTTACTGCTCATATTCTCAACAAGTTCATTCTCTTTCACACCATTTCGATTAGTATCAAGCAGTCCGTATCCCATCTATATTTCCCTCCCACAAGTCACAAGTTTATCCTCTTTCATTTTTTTAATAGTCACTAAATATTTTGAAGACCATAATATCTGCTTTAGTTTAAAACTTTCAGATTTAACAAAAACAAAATTCAACTATTGCTGACCAAACTACTTGTGGCAAGTAAACCAAGTTACCGAGTTGTGAAAATTACAAGTACTCGGAGTATTGGAACAGAATGTGTAAGTACACTAGTCGGTGGTCTTTACCCTGAGTAGCGAGTACCGCCAAGTACTCATCGATTACACACACATATACACACTAACATATATACAAATATATATATATATATATATATATATATATATATATATATATATATATGTATATAATCATATCTTATCTTTAATAAAATATTTTCCACAGTAAACCCAAACACTAAAATATCATTTACTCTTGGTATTGGTTTCTTTCCCTGCATTTTTTACTGTCTTTCTAAATCCTTACTCAGTCTTAATATCCTGATAATCCTTGAGTTTTGGCAATGGTATAAAACAGTCAATAAGAAACCACCTTGTTAACACTCAACTATATACTGTACAAGTATTCATATACAGCCCTTTATTATGTAGATAAAAGGAAGGAAGATACGGAACAAAACGAACGTCAATTCTGACTGGATCACAGTCAGGATATAGGGGTAGAATGATGTTACTAGTCCAAATTGACAATGAAACTGAGTTCTCATGATGACATCAGACTTTAACCTATACTCACCCCCCCATCTCCCATGACCATGTTAGTTAGCAAAGAAATACCCAACACAAGCATGGAACAAATAAACAAATAAGTCCACAAAACAATGTAGAATTGACGACTAGATATAAATGCAAATTGAAAGTCAAAATAGTAACATACAATTAGAGAAAGTGGTCATATTATTCTAATGCAAAACACGAATAGGAAAGATATGTTAAACTATATTGTACTCCACTTTCTTTTAAATGAATAAAGCAGGGAGATATTATAAACTAAGAGCTAATATTAAAACAAAGGAAGATGGAATATAATTTGACTGAATAATAAGTGAACTCACTTATATCAGCAAATTATACACAACTTGGGATGACAGATCAAAAATTGGCAGCTTAGGAGTCAAATAATCCACTTAGGGCAACTCCGTTCCAACAGACAAAACGTTTACACATAAGACCAACCTCAACGGTATCTTGACTGTGTCAATATGCACCACCTAGCTGTGAACAGAGTCACATTTCAAGACGCAGTGGTCTAAGATAGAATCCAGCATGCAGTATCCATCATGAGATGGTTAGGTACGTCTGCAATTCATGCACAATAAACTCAAAAATGAACCCTAAACGAGTTTAGGGATCACATAAATAGCTAGCGAATCCTACTTCTAATATCAACAGAGATTCAAAACGCCCAAGTATTAACACAGAATAATTCCACAAATGGAAAAGGAAATTGTTTATGGAGTTGAAAGAAGTAGAGATAAAGCTAATACTAAAATGTGTGTATGATCATCAATTTCAAGGAAATGGCACTTAACACATTTACCATGCAAGTGATCAGGAAAGTCACAATATCTAAATCAGATAAAACATTATGATACCCTAAAATACTATCACAGGACAGTTAACATGTATTCTAATGTCCATGCCTTTTCTTATAGATGTCTTTTTAACCCCATTTCCCTCTCAGTATTTCCCATCGAAATGCACACATAGATGGTTTCAAGATCTTTATGGGACTCATAATGTTAGTTCCATTAAAAAGTGCACCTGAAAACGTAGACTCAAAAAATAAATAACTAAAAGATACAGACATATCTATTATCTAAAATGTTGTTAGTTTGGTGTAAAAAGGTGGGGGGAAACAGACAGCACATAAAAAAAAGTTAGCAGCACTTTGTAAACCTTAAACTATCTTAATCATTTGAAATAAGGGTGTATGTTAACTAATAAAAAATCACAATTTACATGACAAACAAAAAACAGCTTGATTATAAATATACAAAATGAGACGAAAAAACTTTTCACTCCGAAGAGTCAGTAGTGCATGTTATGTCATCTCGTACAATTGCAACTACCTTATCGAGGTAGGACACAACAGTTTTCCTTGCTTCTTGATCTTTCCAACACGCACTGATACCAGTGGAATGCACAAGCATCTGGCCAGCTTCCCAACCTCTGCTGGTTCAAAGTGCTGCTCCATATAAACATACAAATCTGTTAATGCATTGATCGATACATAAATAAAAGCATAAAAGTTCAACATTTAACACCCTACATAACCATAGCTACACTAAATCTAAATTTTTCCTCAAGACTCCTATAAGACATTGACAGGTAAATAACACTAAGACCAACTTATTTAACAGCTAAGGATAACAACGACACCGCAGATCGAAGGCTACCTGACTAAGATAAGCGAGTAAGCAATCCTCAGCTGCGCCAGCAGAGACATTCATCTTCAACAAAGGCTTCAGCCTCTCATCAGCACGGCATGCGCCCATCACCTGCATATCCATAGCCTGGAGCCACTGCGAAACACTGTAACCTTGATCGCACCGTTGAAGCAATAGATCTCCGTCGTTGTCGTTCACCAAGATCTCCGTCAGCCTCTCCGCAAGCCTAGGGCGGCCCCGGTTGGTACCTGAACTCTGTCCTGATTCCACCGGAGTTCCAACCGACTCAGTTCCTTCAACCAGATGACCGCCGATGGAATCCTCAACGCCATCTCTCTCCCGATTGTTCGAAGATTCGTTCTGCTTACCAATGGCCATTTTAATTCGTAGATTAGATAGAAAATTAGATTAAGTTTATTCAAATTCTTGCAATCACAACCGTTAGAAAGCTTAATCCGACACTACAAATTCAGTTGCGATTAAAACGATCTTGGGCAAGGAGAACGGTGAGCGTAATTGAGAGAGAGAGAGAGAGACGACAACGACAGCTCCCAACGCAGAGCAAATGAATGATAATGGGCCTCGAGAGCGGTTAATATCGCGGATACAGATAGATAGATAGCCCTCCGGACTTGAAATTCGAAACTAAAATCTTTGGTGTAAAGCAAGCTTGGAGTCCGGAATATCTTCAATCATAGAGACATAGACCGGACGTACACGTCAGACTGCAGGTGGAATGGCCCACGTGGGGACCCATGATAAACCGGCCCACTATATCGTGCGTACCGCTTCATCGATCTGGCTTCACACAATCACACCAAGCTTCTCATTAGGCTTCTTCGATCTTGCTTGTTTCTTCAATCTATCTTCGCACCTTACTCATTGTCGCCAACGTTGACCGACCCCCTTCTCCTTCAGCTCGTTGCTCGTCTTCGTCGCTCACCAGTCACCACTCACCATTTCTCCTCTGACACGAACTTCAATTGCAATATATGAAACGGAGAATTGATGCTCATTTTAGGTTCATGATACTCAAAAGAATAGACTTGATGCTCACCAAAATCGTACCAATGATCATTTAAGAGAACCTGTGATTTTCACCAGAATTACAAACTTGCCACCGGTATAACCGATTGAATGGTATATGCATCCCCATGTTAGTGGGTGTGCCACATCGTGTATCTGTTTCACCATTGGATGGAGGCAGGGTTCTTGAAAAGTGAAGATCTGTCATGCAAGTATGTAACCACATGCTTGTTTATAAATCTTTAACAATACTTAATAGCGAAGAATGAAAGAACCCTAGCGAAAGTGCCACCCTTCAAATCGATCGATCGTAGGAGGGCTAGCAATCGGCGTCTTTGGTTTCAATTCTCTCTGGCTTCGGGTTTTCTTCATTGTTGCTTTTCTTCAATTTTCGTTTTTTTTTTCACTTCTCGTCGTATTGGGTTGCTGTATGTGAGCCATCTGTGTGCTCGTCTCTTGTCCGGTACTTTGTTGTCGAGGATTTATCTATGTTCCTTTATGAAGGATTTATGTTTGATTGCTAGCGATCATGGTTTGGAGACCGATTCGGGGAGTCACTATTGAAGAGATTGGTGCTTCTAAGTTTCTTCTCCATTTTTATCATGAAGCAGACATCAATCGTGTAGTCGAGGAGGGGCTTTGGTCTTGTTAACAAAACTTAGTAGTGATACAGCGCTTAGGGTGTACTCATAGGCCTTTTAGAATGTCCTTGGATTGTGCTGATTTTTGGGTACAGGTTAACTATTTACCTTTAGGGTACATGACGGCTAAAGCTACCCGTGGAATTGGAAATAGCATAGGGAATTTTGTCAAATTCAATGAGCGCTCTCTTGGAGGTAAATGGAGACTGATCTTGCGCATAAGTGTTACAATTAATATAAATATGGCTTTGATATGAAGACTGCAGGTTAGACGGGAAGGAGACAACTAGATATGTGCATATTTTAGATATGAGAGACTTCCTAAATTTTGCGATATATGTGGCTTACTTGGCCATATTGATCGCTTCTGCAACACAATTGTTCCTGGATTGGAGAGAAGCGACCATGGCTACGTGCTGATATGAGAAGAGGTGGAGTGCACCCGGGGAACATGTGGTTAATACCCAGGCAGGAGAAGGTGGGGAGTGTGTGCAACTCGAGTGGAGATGTGATAACCCAAGGTAGCTATATGGTGGAAGGCTTAACCTCTGATGGTAAGGAGGTAGTGTATCTGAAGGAAGACCATAGAAAATGCTGGGCGGTAGAGGTGGCTACTGAGGAAGGCATCCAAGCAAGCATGGACGTAGATGGTGGTGGCGATGCGGTCTGGTCAAACCGCTATCTTCTTGCCAGTGGCTCGAAAAACTGGATATTATCGTTTTTATCGTTCTTTATCTTCTCAGAACTACTTTATTTTTTATATTTTCCCTTATAGTATCAGGTGCAACATTGCTCTTAATGGAGACCACATTGCGGGGTTAGCGAGTTGGACCGCTGTTAAGCATGACTCAAGCTCTGAGTCTCATCCCAATCTGTACGTGTTTCTGATTTTTATTAATAATAATTAAGTTGTCTTTTGTCAAAAAAAACAATACTTAGTTAGGACAATAAGTTGGTCAAGACTCTTTTTAAAAAACAAAGTTGGTTAGGTCAATAGTTTGAAAGACAAAAATAAGGCTAACGGATTATAAGAAAACATAATTCATAGTACAATTATAGTTTTAGAAAATGGTTGTTATCAATAAATTAAATGTACTCATTCTATAATAATATTCAAATCAAAAACATAACATGTGAAGCTTCAAATGACATTTTGTGGTATGAAAACATCGTGAGACCTATATAAAATTTGAATTATTTATGTGTACTATAATGTAAGTTGAGAGTGTTTAAAAGTTTGTTTTATGAATACATTTTTGTGTCAAAAGATTGAAATGAAGATTCATTCTAATATAATGCTAATATATCTAATTTGGTCAAGGGAAGTGAATCCTAGCGCCTTACTTGTGAAAATTCACAGAAAGATAACTAACTAGACGTGTCATGACATTTTTATGAAAAATGAATATTTTGAAAAGATATTTCAAACTTTTCACTTCTCATATCAATTTCAAATCCTGAATGGAATAAAAAGTATCAATATTTAGCCTATTTAGATCTCTCTGTCTATCACATATTCACCATATAATCCTTGGATCAACTAATTTATTGATTTTTATATGTGTTCTTCCTATTCCAAGGTGTTCTTGTAGTGATAGATTATATGATAGTCCATCTTATACACAAAAATTCATGTTGATGTTGTGATGCCTATACAAAGACCAAAAGATTCATGGAATGAGTATACAAATTTACAAGCCAAAAAACACAATAAAACGCATAGAAAAGGAATCCATTAAATTTTAGAACCCTATCAGCCACTACAAACATAATGTAGATGGTGAACTTATTTATTAGTTAATGAAAAAATTAATCTTCTAATAGTGAGGCTGCTCTTGCAAACTCTTATCTAAATAAATAGGGCAATTATGCCTTCAACTTTGTTTCAATAGCCTCCGATTAAATTTAAATAAACTAATGTACTTGCAATCCCTACTTTGGCCTAAGGTTATCAAGATGTTGTATCGGACCTCATTGAAAGTTTTCATCATTCATTATTATGAATAGAACTGATAAAAATCAATAAACCGAGTTGAAATTGGTCAATGTGCAATTCAATTTGAGTTTCATGGAATTTCTTTCAAGACACATTAAATTGAATCGAACCCGTGAAAACGAAATAAAAGAATTGAATTAAAAAATTCAATAAAACTCTAATATATTCTTAAAAGATAACAAATCTAAATTGAACCAAACCGAAATATAGTACGGAGTATGATATTTATATAGTAATGCTTTTTCCAACTTGTCTAAAAAACAGAATGAACTCAAGTTTTTTTAGGGAAACACATCAACTTCATTAAGTAAAATCAAACAGGTTACAATCAGCTATGAGGTTGTGTTTAAGAAAGCTAGAGACATCTTCCAGCCAGAGGGCTGGCTCAATGAGCAGCCCGATTGGCTTCGTGCCTCATAAAAACAAACTTACTAGAAATGAAAATTTCACTAAGATCATGAATTTCTTCTAAGATAGGGGAAATATTTTAACGATCAGTACGTCGTTGGTTCCAATGCCGGAGCAGGTCAGAATAGTCAACCTCGAAAATCACTTGATTGAAGCCCCTGTTAACAGCAAAAGTGACAGCATCCCGCACGGCCAAAGCATCGATCGTCAAGGGGTTTGAAATCCCAATATAACTTCTACAAGTTGCACCTCGAAAGCCGACACAGTCGCATGCAACTATACCACTTCCTGCTATATTATTGGCGAGACACACAGCACCATCTGAGTTAATCTTAACTACATCCATCGACGGTCCATGCCAAGTACACTCCGGCCGAGGTTGCTTTGGCCCTAAACGAGTGGGGGTAGCTCTATTGACAGGAGAAGATCTTGGGCATACTCCATAGCCTTTGCTGGGTTATAGCCAACCTCACCATGAGTCCATTTGTTTCGTGATAGCCAAATCGAATGCATCACAGATATGATTTTAGGCCTATCATTATCATCAAACATTGAGTTGCAGAGGATATCAGCAGCCCAAGTTATTTGGTGAAGGCGCGGAGGTTTAAACAGAAGAACTTCTTCAGCCGCAGTCCAAAAAAGTCTTGCATGGTTGCATTCCACAAGAGTGTGCAACAGAGTTTCTGCCTCAGCTTTGCACAGTCCACAAGTGTTACTATCCATGATATGTCGTCGTGAAAAGGTCCCATGGATAATAACACTTGTGGATATACCTCCATGCTTGCTTGCCAAGAAATGCAACATTAAACACATTCATATCTCTGAAGCCCATTCTGCCTTGGTTTTTTTGGGATTGTCAGTTTATTCCATGTGATCCAATGCATTGACATTTGTCGAGGTTTCCACTCCACCAAAACTTGCCCATCATAGAGGTGATTTTTTTACATGTCCCTTTCGAGAGGAGGAAACAACTCATATTATATCTTGGATAACTGACTTGAGAAGTACCTCTTTGCCGGCATAGGAGAGATTCTTTTCAGCCCATCCACTAATCTTACTTCTGGCACTTCCAGCGATGTACTCGAAGGACATACTTGTCAATCAGCCAGCCGCAGTTGGAAGTCTCGGGTATTTCTCACTAAAGACCTCAGTTTGAATATTAAGCTCCTGTTTAACAGCTTCTCGAGCATTTTTTGGAGTACTTGGACTGAAGAAGATAGAACTTTTTCCTTTGTTAACGCTCTGTCCCGAAGCACCATTGGGGGTGGGATTGGTCCGGTCTGGGTTGGGTTTTTGCTAAAGCCGAAAATTATCTGGAAGGTCACAGGTTATGAAAATTAGGGACTGGAACAAAACCCATTATATTCAGTCCGAACCAGGTTTTTTATAGCCCGGGTTCGGTTCGGGCCGGTTAAAGCCTGAATGTGAAATAATCTTATTGTCCTTTTATATTTTAAAACATATTTTCAAATAAAATTAATTAAAAACACAAACCAAAAATAATAACACAAATATTAATCTCCAAAATCACCAACAAATTTGAATCCAAAGAAGATAATTATCTTAGTATTTTGTTTAAGATGCA